CTGAAAATAGCTTCACTGAGTGAGAACTAATGTTGAGAGCTCAGCAGACAGTTAAGTTTCACTTTCAGTTTCACCTGAAAGCCTGCAGGAGTCATGGGCGGGGTGTGGGGGGAGGGGGGGTCTGGCATGAGGAAGTTTGGTTTAAAGACACGTCCCAGGGGTGTTTCTGTTCCCAGAAGGTGTTTCTGGTCCCCACCTGTCGTTTTGCTCCTCAGCATGGCTTCCTAAAAACACTGCAGGATTTCTCAAACATGATGAATGGGTCAGAGCAAGGCTTTGGGCATGTTTTTTATGAAAGTATAACATTATAACATGATATAAAATTCAAAAAAGTTGATTTTACATGATGTTGCCCCTTCAAGTATCTGGGTGGGATGGATCGACAGATTGGGAACACATCCCAGTAATGAGGGTGTTGCTTCGGTCAGTCGTGGTGAAGAAAGAGCTGAGTCGAAAGGCAAAGCTCTGGATCTACTTTGTCTTTGTTCCAACTCTCACCTGTGGTCATGAGGCATGGACCATGACAGATGAAACAGATCCTGGATACAAGCAGATGAAATGAGCTTCCTTCTTAGGGTGGTCAGGATCAGCCTTAGAGACAGGGGGAGGAGCTCCGTCATCCAGGGCAGGACTGAGTAGAGCCGCTGCTCCTCTGCATCAAAAGGAGTCAGTTGGGGTGGTTCATCTGATCAGGATGCACTCTGGACGCCTCCCTTTAGCGATGTTCCACACGTCCCACTGGTAGGAGGCCTCGGGGAAGACCCAGGACTCTCTGAGACCACCTCAGAGTCCCTCAGGATGAGCTGGAAAGTGTCACTGGGGAGAGGGAGGTCTGGGTTTTTCTCCTGGACCTGTTGCCTCCATGACCCGACTACAGAGAAGATGAATGATTTCCATCACCACAAATCAACTTATTTTATTATTTGTAATGAGTATCTTTAATCTGAACTTTAGAATAGAATAGAATAGAACAGAATAGAATAGAATAGAAATGGCCTTTATTGTCCCGCAGAGGGGAAATTCAGGTGTAACAGCAGCAGCAGATACTTCAATTCACAAAACATTATATTGCTATGTGACAGTATCAATAGTAGCAATAATAATAGAATTAAAATAAAAATTTAAAATTAAAAAATAAAATAAAAATACTGTATAAGGCAATAAAATTGAAATGATAAAAGTAAAAGTAAGAATACTGTGAAAAATTAAAAAGGAAACAGTCATGACAGACTCATGCTCAGGTGTGATATTCAGTCAAATCCAGTCATTTCTGGTTAATCTGAGTCTAATTTTATTCAGGCTTTCTGGAAACTTCACGTTTATCTGAAAGTATGTCAGAGTTTAAAGTCTGAATGTCACTGAAAGAGTTAAACTCTTTTCTCTTCCTGCTAAAAGGTGAAAAGTTCAGTTTTCTGATAACAGAAGAATTTCATGACTGAAATGTTGGCGCAGGCTGAACCTCTGCCTGACCTCTTTTATTTCCATTTACAAACAAATGTCAGCAGCTTCACTTTTATTTTTTACTTTAACAACAGAGTAAAGACAGAGCTGATCAGATAAATCAATCATTAACTGTGACTTTTTTTATAACGGAGCTGTTTAAGTTGTGCACAACCCTGAACCCAGCTGTTCAGTAGTGTTGTGTAGATGCTGTGTAGTGTTGTGTAATCTTGTGTAGTGTTGTGTAATCTTGTGTAGTGTTGTGTAGTGCTTTAGGAGTGGTATAAATCAGTGTAGAATTAGCCCTAATTGCAGCACACTGTAACTGATGAAAGCTGTTAAATGTTGCTTCCTCTGCAGCCGTTTGACCAGAAGTGTTCTTCCAATATCTTCAGATGAATCAGCTTTTCTTCCAGGACTGCTGAGGAGGCAGCACAGCTCTGCTCAGACACAACTGATGCAACCGAGGCTCCTTTTCCAAAATCATTTTTTCCTCCTGTGTTGAAATAAATCTGAAAATCAATCAATAAAACAACTCGGTTTATCCAACTTCAGTTATTTTTTATGAAAGATAAAGTTTAGTCATCCATCAAATTCATTGTTCCACCAGCTGAAGTTATTGAAATTCTCTGATTTGGTTGTCAGTTATAGAGCTCATAAAAATACATTACCTTCTAACATCCAATTACATTTAGTTAAAAGAGAGAGTTGTTATAATCTGAAGAGGATAGAAATGTTTGTGAGGCATAACGTTAGAATATGTTTAAAGGAATGGAGTACTTCAGTCCAGGGAATTAAAATATGGAATAATCTGGAAGATGACATTAAACATGTCAGATCATTGTGTATATTTAATTTATATATTACAATTTATATACTTATATTTAAGAGAATAATAAAGGTTAATTTGTTGGAGAAATATGTATGAGTATAATGCACCAATTGTTGCTCAAGGAGTTAAACCTTTGTTTTTCTTTTATTTTTTGTGTGTTTTTATAACAAATATTTTATTTATTTATTTGAGAGAAAGGGGCAGAAATCATAACATTTTTTCTTCTGCTGCTGCCTTTCATTTATGATTGGTGTTTTTATTTTATGTAGAACTTATGTCGTTTTATTTTAAATAAATAAACTTTTTAACGTTTGACTCAAAATTCTGTATTTGTACATAATAATCAGTTTGACATATCAAATCATAAAAATGTATGAAAATGTGCACTTTTTGCATAAAATAATAATAATTGATAAGTAACCTATTGGCATGAATAAAAATGACTCATTAACTTCCACTGTCCAAAACAGAAGTCTAAATATCACGTTAAAAACAAAAAGTTAAATAAAAAAAAACAAAGTAACTGGACTTTTATTCTGTGGTTGAAGATGTTTGACTTCCTGTCTGGGTATTTTTCTCCAGTTAAAACTGAAAACTGAAATTTCCAGCTTTATGTCAAATAATTATTAGTTTAGATGCTGTCAGTGTTTAAACACCAGTCACTGCTGGTTCTCTGTGACATCCAGCTGTTTATCTGTTGATGCTTCAGCCTAAAAATAATAAAAACCCTCTGTAACAGCAGCTCAGAACAAGGCTTTGACCCACATTCGTTGCACTTGTTCATTTCTGTCCAGCGCTTGAACAAACTGCAGACAGGAGTGTTTGTGTCCCAAAGATAGAACGACCAGGACCGCATGATTACAGGGAACTGTGGGTGTTTCCCAGCGACAGAACCACAGAAAACCAGTTCATTACAGTCAGCCTCAGAGCAGCAGGATGACATGAAGGTTTGAACATCCAGACTCTTAAAAACAAAACAGGAATGTGCTGAACATATCTGTGGGTGTGTAAAACCTTCTGATAGCTCATAAACAAAGAGCCAGATATTATATGATTTATGAATCCTTGGATGGACAGACGTCCTGAGTTTGGGTTTAGCTAACAGACACGTCCCTCTGTCTACAATATAAGAATCTAAGATTAATTTTCAAAATAACTTTGTATAATTTAAACTGTTCCTGAAAAAATCTTATGAACAAAAATACTTTTCTACATTAAACACATGTTGAACTATTTTTAAAGAGTAATTCCAGCCAAATGTCCCAAAAACAAAAGCAGATTTTAAAATGTTGCCACAACTTTATAAATGAAAGAAGTAAAACTTTAGCAGCTGCAACAAGAACCGTAACGAACAAATGAAGCACGACTGAGCTGTTTTTAAAGATTTATTACTTTTTCCTTTGATCCAACATAATATGAAACATAAAATACCCAAAATATCACAATACAAATAATGTCAAACTGATTATAAAAAAGACATTTTAACTCAGATTTTTGTAGTGAATATAATTTCTGAAAAGGTTGAAGAAAATAAAAGTTACAAATGTTTTCCAGCATAAACAGGAAAATATGATTATAAAAACTTTGATCAAAATCTCTTAAATACCATAAAAACACAACCCATACATGTTAAAGAATAAAATATTTCTGCATAAAATGAAACTTCTGAAGGTTTTTGATCAGAATGAAAAAAAGAAAAGTTGTTTCAGAAACACTAGTGTTCAACTCAGCTGGAAAAAAAAGATGACTTTTAATATTTAATTAATTTGTGTTTAAAATGAAACCAAATGAGGATTTTTCATTTCTCCTTTGGTTTAATCAGGAAGGTGACGTCAGAGCATGAATGTCAGCCTCAGCACAGTTATCTGTTCCACAGTTCGACTGTAAAACTAACAGGATTCTGATCAGAACGATGAAAAACTTCCTGCTTTAACCACAACCGACAGGTTTCATCTGGGAAAAACCTGCAGCTGAATTTATTCTGTAAATTAAACTTAATTTTACTTGAATTTAAAAAGACTAAAGTAAGGTTTACATTTCAAATGACTATTTTTCATAAAGCAGGGTTGTGTGGAGTAAACATAAGTGGTCAGTATCTTACATATGGCAGTAAGGAGCATTTCATACCTGTTACTGTTTTTATGGTTAGAGTATGCTGGGATTAGAAGTCATGTTAAATCAGGAGTTAAGGAACAGAGCTAAATGTTTAGCTAACATTAGCCTTTCCTTCAAGCAGCAGATTCAATCAATATTGAGATGGGTAAACAATGGGTCGCTCAAAAAGGAGTCAGTTGAACTCAGTTCTGAGGTAGAAAACTTCAAACTACCAGGGTTCAGATTTGACCCAACGCTGGGTTGTTTTTAACCCATCAGTTTTTAGTGTAATTTGATCCAACTAAACAAAAAAAGTTGGAGGTGGAGTCATTTTAGTTGTGAAAAAGTAAGAATTTCTTCTCAGTCTCTGCTGCAGGTTAGATAGTGACCACAGTGAGGAACTCCACACAAACCTAAATGTGTGTAAAATAAGGCAGGTACTGTAGCAGTGAGTATGTAACACATTCTCACTCCCAACTCGACAACATATTGACGCTTTTCCAAAGTTCCCTCTGCGTCTTATTTTGACGAGTCGGGTGACCCCCTCGTGTCAGTCCTTGCCGCCCACGGCTTTTCCGGGTTGCGCCACCAGGAGTCTTTGGGTCGGGGGTCTGAGGTTAACATGAGGGATCAGGATTAATGGTTAATCTTAGGTACTAGGGTCAGGGATAGGATGTCTACAGTGAATAAAGGTAATTTTAGGCTTTGGAATGGTAGTTTTTGTGCGTTTTGTACACTTTCTGAAATTCTGACAACAGATTCCGCCCCATCTCGTCAAAAAATGACACAAGGGGAGTACCCGAAACGTCAAAATCGTACGCAGAGGGAACTTTGGAAAAGCGTCAATATGTGACGACTTAGGGGTGAGAATGGCAGCAGTAGACGGGGACAGAGGAAGGATTCATCATCAGGATCTGGACCTTTAAGCGGAGTGAACACAGACGTAAAGGTTCTTGTGCTCCTCCCAGTAGTGCAGCTCGTCTGTGAAGCTCCAGGAGCAGCCCAGGTCTTTGCTGGTTTTCACCGTGTGAACCATGCAGTCACCAGGTAACGCCTCGAACAGAGCCTCTGCCACGCCCTTCACCGTCAGCTTCTTCTGGCTCTGGATCAGCTGCTGGATCTGGTTCTTATCTAGGGGCTCGGGCGAGGAGCTGTAGGACACCCAGATGTTCAGTTTCTCGTCGGAGGTGGGCACCTGGAAGCGGCTCTTCCCTGCGGGGCAGTGGAAGTCCTTCTTGTTGGCGAACAGCGACGTGGGAGACCTGAAGACTCGCACGGACCAGCCCACCCAGTCGTACTTGGTCTTCAGCTTGTCTACGATGGCGTCGGCCAGCTGCTGGTTGGTCTGGCCCTCCTGGTCCCTCACCAGCCGCCTGGAGTCCAGCTCGGCCTGCTTGGGGAAGCTGACGATGCAGTCCTCGATGACGGCGTTCATTTTCTCCTGGACAGCCTTCATCTTCTCGCCCCACTCCTTCAGGAGGGCGTCCTCCTCGCCGTAGCCCTTCAGGGCGGCGTGGCCCAGCAGCGCGATGAGCCCCACGCAGAACAGGTTCTTCAGCCGAGAACAGAAGTCCTCCATGGGCCGGCGACTCTTCTCCTCGCAGTTCAGGATGACCTCCAGCATAGACTCCCCGCAGAAGTTGTCTCCGGTCACCGCGTTGTAGAGGACGGTGAGGTTTTTGTCTCCGTCGGTTTTGGCGAAATGCTCCAAGAAAAGCTTCTTCTTGACCTCCCTGAACTTGGGTTTGGCGTTGAGGATGTCCATGTACTTCCTGAACTGGTTGGTGAGGTTCTCCTCCACGGAGAAGTACGCCACATTCACCGCGTTCTTCTTGATCTCGTCGTTGATTCTCTGGATCTCCTCGGAGGCCACCTCCAGGCGGTCCCGGACCTTCTGGAACTGCTCCTTCATGTAGGCGGCCTCCTTGCTCTCCACGTTGTCCAGAGCCAGCTTGACGATGGGGGCGGCGATGGCGAAGACAGGGAAGATGTCGCCGGCGATGCTGGCCACCACTTCAGCTCCCTGCTCAAACACCTCCATCACCGTCTCCACCGTGTTCTTGTTCTGAGCCACCAGCTTCTGCAGAGGGTTCTCCATCGTCTGCGAGGTGTTTATCCACCGATTCTACCAAGAGGAAGAGAACAACAGCTCAATATCTGAGCTACGTCCTTGGATATTAAATATATTCACAGACAGAGGGGGAAATCCTTTAAGTTCTGTTTTTTTAAGAGGTACTTACAGCTCTATGCAAGTGTTGAAGATCCTGGACTCTGGTCTGCTCCTCTCGAAGCTAAAAGAGAAACACTCATGTGAGCTGGGATGCAGTGTTGGTTACACCCAGTGAGCAAAGAGTCAACAAAGCCAAGAGAATTCATCAGTGACGCAAGACCGGTAAGACTCGACCCGTTTCTGGTACTCCGGGGCGGGGTATCACAGGAGGGGCTGCAAAAGGTTTAGCACATGAATCAAAAATGAATGAGGGTAGAGAAAATCTGCACATCAATGTTCACTACAGAAAACATGATGTCATGGTCCTCTAGTTCTTACTTAAACTAGGGCTGTGTGTTGGCAAGAACTTTGTGATAAAATATATATCATGACACAGGGGTCACAATATATCCTATCATAACATGATACGATTTTTTGTGATATATTGTGACATACACAGGGGTCAAGAGACAATATATTATGATACATCGTATTGTGACGCAGGGGTCACAATATGATATATTGCGATATATTGTACAGTGACAAAGGAGTCATAATACGATATATCGAAATATATTAAGCAAGGTGATATACTGCCGTCTTTACTTTCAAAAATTCGAATTAACCAAAATAATAAAAAGTTGTATCTTTTATATGATTATTCACAATGCTAACATTTGAGCTACCATTAAATTCTCTGGCTCTTTAAAAGTGGGAGGAGCCACATGGCTGCCTGACTGCTGCCAACTAGTGGTTGAAGGCTAAATTACAACACAAGAATAAACTGCTGGCCTGAAAGTTTGTTTTAATCCTTAATTTAAATTTGAAATTGCTTTAGAAAATCAATACAGTATTGAGAAATTAAACATGAAATTTTAGTGTATTGATATTTTCTTACACCACTAACTTATTATTATTAAGACTTTTTTCTTCTTTCTGCTGCCTTTCATTTCATTTGTGTTTCGTAATTTTTATTGTATTTTTTGATTAATAAATTTATTAAAACTAAAGAAAATTTCACTTTAGGTTTTTTGGTGGGAGGAGATTTACACATATGTTTATTAAACTCGTAAAAAAATGGAATCCTTATTAAACATTAAGCTGGAAAATAACTGAAAGACACAAAACTGGGCTTTTACTTTAAGCAAACACCAACAAAAAGCTTAAAAATGAAATCATACAAAAGTTTATAAACTATTACAGACTGTGGCTTCACCCAAAAATCAGTTTCCCATTCTGTAACCTAAAAAAAATCTTTGAGACGTAATAAGTATGTTTAATAAGTAATAAAGGGGAGATCATCTCTGAATACAATATCAGCTCTATTTTCTAATAAACATAAAGCAGAAAAATCATATCTTTAAATTGTTATATTTATTGATATACAGTATTTTATGGAAAAAAAAAGAACCTATTTCAGCTGTAAATATAGTAGAAATAATATATTTTTCACAAAACACACCAACAGTTTGAGGAGCTGAAAGCCAGTTTAATTTATTTTGACAGTGTCAGCCAGCACTAACCAGGCCCAGATATTAAAGAATGATCTAAAACAACTTGTCAGTGCATACGATATTTCAGTGTATCGATATTTTCTTACACTCCTATCGTATGCACTGACAAGTATATCGCAATATTTCATTTCCTGATACTGTATCGATTCTCTAAAGCCCTGTATTGATTTGTCAACTTTCCTGCCAGCCATTCATTTTTATGTTGTAGTTCAGCCTCTGACCACTAGCTGGCAGCAGTGAGCCAGCCATTTGGCTTCTTCACTCCTGAGGAGCCAGAGAGTAACAGTAGCATATGCATTAGCCGTGTCCAAAATGGCAGGCCGGGTCCTCCGGAGGACCCAGACTACCCGG